ATTATATATATTTTATATTAAATATTTATATTATATATATTTTGTTAGAAATATTGCATTGGCAACTAAATAAAAAAATAAGTTTGAAGAAGTTCACTTTAACAAAAATTGCTAAAGTTACTCAAACTAAAAAGGAATTAAAATAAATTAAAGTTAAATAGAAATATAAAAAACTAATAAAAATTACAAAAGCACATAACAAAATTGCTAAACTTAAAATGAAGATGTAAAAATAAAAGCTACTTCAAAATATTATTAAATACTATAAAAGTATATAAATAATACTGAAATAACACTGGAACCGGTCTGGAAATTCATGCTAAACTAAACAGGGTTTGCTAGCTTAAACTAGCCCGACACATGAAGATGAAATCTGATGAATACTCCATGTCCCTCTCCATGGCCTTTGATGTAATGACCTGAAATAGTCCTGATCCAGATTTATTGGTCTGTTTTACTCTTCAGGGAGGGTAAGTATGGTCATGCTGCATGCTTTGGGCTCCAGCCAGGATGTCTCGGGCCTGATGGGAATCGTAGGATGCCTGTAGCTGCTATGGTGGCCAACTTCACAAAACCCACAAGCAGCTGGCCTTCCCTCCTGCAGCACCATGAGGTGGAGACCTTCTTCCATGAGTTTGGACATGTCATGCATGAGCTCTGCTCCCGGGTACGGCAATATTCTCACATACAGCAGAGCTCAAAGTCTTGAGACCACGCTGAATGAAAATCCCAAATTAATAGGAAATATGACTAGTGGTACCAGATGTGATTTTCTGTGTTCCAGACCCGCTACGCAGAGTTCAGTGGGACGCAGGTGGAGACTGATTTTGTGGAGGTGCCGTCTCAAATGCTGGAGAACTGGGTTTGGGAGAAGGAGCCGCTCAGGAAGATGTCCCGCCACTACAAAGATGGCAGCCCGATCCCAGACAGTCTGCTGGATAAACTCATTGCATCTAGAGTGGCCAACACAGGTCCGATTTGACCCCACATTCTCGACATCTCTATAACTGTCTGTATAATAAAATCTGTATGTTCTAAAATATATGTTTGATCTTTGAATAAGTAACATATATAGGCCTTCCATCACATTTGAAATTCAATTCAGTTTTAAAGGTAAGATTTATCAACCTGTTTAGTGAAATGTTTGGCCAGTGCTGTTTCATTGTATTGGTGGTCAATATTTTGGTGAAGAAATTGGTATTGGCCAATAGACAATTAGTTTTTTTTTTTTTTTTTTAAATCAGCATAGATTGAATTATGTCAATATTGAAAGCATATTGGATCATTTCTGAGCATTTTAATTTTTTTAAATCAAAACATGTCTGTCACATTTGAATACAAAATCAAAATATTAAAAAAAGAAATTACATTGCGGACACATTACATCTTAATTGTTCCAAAATATTTTTTTTTTTTCAAAAAGTTTTTTTTTCTTATTATTTTCAGTAATGATTCTCATTAGATTCATGTTACTGTTGTCCTATTTATTTATTTGGGGAGTTAATTTGCTTAGTCATTAAAATGTCACAATGCAAAAAAATCTTAATGGTCTTAAAATATGCTTAGTTTTCTTAATGCAAAAAATATTGTTTATTTTGGCAAGGCAATTTTTTCTACTATAATTGTATAATGTTTTGATGCCTGATTTCAATTTAGAGTGGATAATTCTGAATGCTATGTGTAAAAAGAAAAAAAGTACAGATTTGTAAAAGAATATTGGTTATTAGCCATATTATAAACTATTGGTTACTGATATTGGCCAAGTATTGAGGAATCTCTGTTTCATTATTGTAACCAGTCAGTTCTTTTAGTTACAGTAACAGTTACACTCATAACATTCTTCTGAGCTGCTGACAGCTTTAAATATATGCTGTAGATATTTGTGGTAAAGTGATAAATCTTTACAAAAGTATTGTTTTTCCAAGTATATGTTTGTTTGTCCGCAGGTCTGATGAACCTCAGGCAGATTGTTCTCAGTAAAGCTGACCAGACGCTCCACACTAAAGACAGAGCGGACACTGCAGCAGAGTTCGCCAAGCACAGCGAAGACATCCTGGGAATCCCAGCCACACCAGGTCAGAAACACATGCGCAGACTCAGCACGCTTCTGACACCTCAACTCTGAGCACATTCACACATCAACGACTACCCAGCATTCAGCAGCTCTCGCTCACTTCACATGCAGAGAAGTTAGAGCTCATCTGCATAGAGAACTCTTAGGGGCCTTGAATCCACTGCGCTGCTTTTCCAGTCTTTTTCTATGTAATGTCTTCCGCAGTGTCTCACGCATGACACAGTGTGCTGAAAACATGGCACTCAAGTTAAAAGAAGTTTAACTTTTTCGTTCCACTTAGGGACCATTCACACACAGAATGCCTTTTTGCAAGCCACTGTGCTACTTTTCTAAAGTTTTTCTTTGTAAACATGATGATCAAGTTAAAAGAAAAATGCATCTCTAGACATTGAGTGTATCTGTTCATTCCACTGCCCTGTGTCTCGTATTTTTAAACCCAAAAATGCATTCTATGTGAACGGCCTCTTAAAGGTGCAGAAGTAAAATCGATCTAAAGGCTTGTTCACACCGGGACGAATATCGCGCGCGATTAAGCGCCATCTAATGTCAGGGAGTGAATTTGCACGTTCACTCGGCTCATCGCCAACGAAAATCGCTTGGGTATGAACACAAAAGACGCGTCGAAAAACGTCGGCGATAAGCGCGTGCGATAATCGTCCCGGTGTGTACGAGGCTTAAGACTAAAAGTCTAGCCGACTGTGTTTGACCATTGCGCTCACATCTTTTGCAGTGTCTCGCACATGACACGCTGAAGAAATTCAATCATGTCTCCAGACTTTTTTTCTTTCATTTAATTTTAGTGTTTTTTTTTAATTCTATTGCCCTGTATCGTGCATCTTTCTATGTAAATGGCCAAAGAATGTGTTTTTAAAATCCACTGCACTGTTTTTTTTTTTATAAATCTGACACAGCATTCTAAAAATACGATGATCAAGTAAAAAAAAAAGAAACACATCTTTTGAAATTACTACTTTGATTCCACATTTCATAAAAAAAAGAAATTTAAAAAAAAAACGCATTCTGTGTGAACAGCCCCTTAGATACAGTTGCATAAAAGGTCTAGACTGGACTTACAAGTTAGTCATCTAATTTTTTCTTTAAGACTATTCATAATTTTTTACAATTCAGTTACATAAAAGCATAGATTAGTCTAAGTTATTGGCTGACTGCTAGCTGGTCAAACTCGTACTTAAGACACTGTCTTAACATAAAGGCTAAGTTTATGCAACTGGCCCCTGACTGTTAAATAAGTCTGAGAGATGATGGAAAATGGTCATAAAAAACTAAATTCTGACACAAGATTTTACTATATATATAGTAAAAAGTGTCTTAGCTTTATTTATTTAATCTTATTTAAAATATGTTATGACGTCAAATAACTGTTATGTTCTAATGTTAGTTCATAATGTGTTTATAATATTTTAATATTAGCATAATTGTAACATTAATTTCATATTTATTTCCACGTGTTCTCTGCAGGCACAAATATGACGGCTAGTTTCAGTCATTTAGCCGGAGGATATGACGGTCAGTACTACAGCTACCTCTGGAGTGAAGTCTACTCCATGGACATCTTCTTCAGTCGCTTCAAAAAGGAAGGAATCTTGAATCCAAAGGTTTGGGTCTTGCTGTTTTACTTTTTCATTGTTGAGCGTGACTAAAGAAACACGTGATTCACATTTTTTGTCTCATCATGGCAAAGTGCATTGTAATAGAGATCCGTCATCAATAACTGGGTCATAATACTAATAGCAGATGATGGTTACCACATGACTGAATTACCAGCGTTACTACATTCATATTCCATTTACGGGCTGTAGCAGACTCTTATCAAGGGTGATAAGAGTGTTAGTTCATTGTGTGAAACTGCTGATGACAGAGTCTGAGTGATTATCTGCTAAGAACTAATAAATATTAATTATAATAAGATTCCACAGGAATAGAACTAACAGTGAGCAAAATTGTTCATACAATTGTTGTGCAAATGAGTGTGTCATAGTTAGTCATAGTATTATAGAAGGATGATTCTGCACTGCATTTAGAGGAAGTTGATTACACTGGTACTCTTAGATTTAATTAGTAAATGACATTATTACAAATTCCAGATATAAATAACACCATCTGGTCATTATGTATTCATATTTTTTTTATATTTTGTGTCATGTTGCCGTCTCAAATGAACGTGTCTGTGTGTGTTTTGACGCACAGGTGGGCAGGGAATACAGGCGTGTGGTTCTGGAAGCAGGAGGTTCGGTGGATGGCGTGGATATGTTGAAGACGTTCCTGGGTCGTGAACCCTGCCAGGATGCGTTTTTTCAATGTAAAGGACTCGCACAAACTATTACAGAACAAAACTCGCAGTGACTTTGGACTGGAAATGAACTTCTGAATATATCGATGTAACAATGACACTTGCATCATTAGTTTTCTCTCTAAATTCACTTACAGTGTTATGTAGAATGAAATGTGATGTATATGTTTTGTTTGTTAAGCTGTCTAATTGTCAGTATTGATGTCATTAATAATCAAATAAATGTAAATATGTGCTTTTATGCAACAGTACTATCTTGGCCTCATTTTTTAAAATTTAAATATGCACCAATAAAATACAATATTAGTTATATATGCTTATATATAAATGAAATGACAATGCAATGTGCACGTATATAAATCTGTACCTCCATAAATTTATGGATTTTAATGCAAGCACCATAACGTTATGTAAATAAGTATGTACATACATTAATATGGTACTACACGCATGTTATTATAGACTAGACTTAAATTTATGCGGTATGTAATGGGCCATATCTACAAAAGATCCTTGCCCTGAAAAGTCATAGGCGATTTAAAGTGACAGTGACAGCAGGTGAACACTAGGTGGAGACAAACATCAACTTTTGACTCATTAGTCAGCGTTAGTTCATCTGTTAAATAAAACTCTTGTAGACATTGAAGTTTGTTGGAAATAAATATATTTTTGTCACTATTTCATCAAATGTGTCCAAACTAGAGAATAAATGCGTAAAAAAAATGTTTACGAGTTTTTTTAATTTATTTTTACAAATTAACAATTTGTTCGCTGCATCCACATTCTAACCTAATAGAGAAAATTACAAATGTTATTTGTCTTTTTTCCTCGTACTGTTAAACCATGATAAAACCAGAACTCATTTCATGACGAACTACATTTGAAATTCTCTGAATTTTGGAACGAACTCATTCGTTGTACAATAAGACCTCAAAGAAATGCAGCCTTCCGACCGAAACGAGATCGAGGCTCTTCCGTTTATTCGTTACCAGGAATTCAGTTTCCATTGGTTTAAACAGTACGCCTTATCAGCTGTTGCTCTGTGTTGTGGCTCCATTGAGGCCAACTGGACCTGATGCCCCCCCCCCTGCATTAGCACTAGCGCTGAGAAGTAAGATTCATTTGAGCGAGTCGGTTCGTTTGAATGATTCGTTACAACAATTCGAATGCGATTCACTGATTCGTTGAATCTCTCATCCAGTGTTCCCTAAAGGAGTGGTGAATAAATAATATTACATTTTATCTGTGTGCACTCTTGACTGTATCAAGTGTTTTGTTCCCAAGAAAAAAAAAACGAAATAGTAATGCCAATTTGGACATAGTGCTAAGTACCGTTTATGATTTTTAATCTACACCAATTACGATAACTACAAAGTTTTAATAATCGCTCTAATAATTTTACATTCGAACGATCTACAGAATCAGGTCGATCGAATCATTCAAAAGAACCGATTCAAAAGAACGACTCGCTAGCGATCAGCATTGGCACAACTGTAGTGCAGACTGTTCAGTGCTTGAGCGCTGCTTCACTGCTCCATCACTTCAGTGACTGCTCCTCCGCGTCTCAATGTAAATCAATGATCCCGGCGACCCTTTTGGTCGCCCTTTTTATTATCCGGACTCTATTGTGTAACTCCCTGGTGTCGTCGAAACATCTTTGATTTTTATCAGCGAGAAAACTTCCCAGCAGCTGCGGGCAACTTTCCGTCGCGCGCTGAGGTGAAGAAATGCATTAGCTCGCTCAGCTAGCAGCAGCTTTCTTCGGCTCTCCAGCATCTAGCGCTGCATTGTAATGTTTTTCCGTGTCTCCAGTCGTGAACTAACCCTCATGGATTAGCTGGATGGTTTTTATCCCTCGTAAATGAAAGGAAAATAACAGAAAGGTTCGGTATAAGGTGAGTACAAGACATTTTATTTGTCCTTCAGCGTCTTCCTCACTGTTAGCCAGATCATGCTAAGAACGGTGGCGGACGTTTTTTGTTGTTGTTGTTGTTTGTTTCTAATTCTCACTGCTTGTCAAATCCAATGTTTTTCTGTAGCATTACATAATCCAGGCTTTGTTGTTTTATTTGTACATATTCATACACCCGCGGGTTTTTACAATATAACGTGTAAGTTAATCTCAGACATGACTGACTAGAAGTCCGGATGTTTACTATGCTCTGTTTAAGCATGTGTAACGTTATATCACAAAAACAAAACATTTTAATGTTTCTGAACGAACATAAGCCGTGTTATTTTAACAATATTGACGAATATGAGGTTTAAACGTTCAGGTACATTAGCCACCATCTCTCACAAACCTCCTGTTTTCTTTTCCGTCTCCTTTTGATAGGACAGTGTGATTAACGCTTGATATCTGCTCATACATTGTTTTTAATGAGTAAATTACTGTCACTGTATCTCTTAACATCACTCGGATACATTAGCGTTTCATGCCTTTGTTTCACAATCACTTCCTGCTCGGAACAGGTTCTGTAGGTGAAAACAGGGTTTCTGTTGATACCTGGCGATTACTGAGCAGATCCTTTCACTAAGTGATCTGATTAGTGTGTGAGCGTTATTAAAGGCTTTGAGAGTGTAATGATCGGAATCAGTGCGGATACACGAGCTCGCAGACGCCTGATCGCGCTGTTGACGCTCTGCTGTGGGTTTCTTCCCATTTTAGGCCCCATTCAAACTCATGATGAAGGGATGAATGGGTGTACTGCTGTCCTCTGTCATGGGATGGTGAGAAATGCAATCAGAAATGACCCAGAGGGAAGTGTTATTACTCAGAGGTTGCTCTCTCTCATAGCTTTCATAGCTCTCATTTTTTCAGTGATGTATCACCTTGTAGAAATTATGTACTGTAGGAGAAATATAAACAGCTGATTAGTAGATGATGTGAATGTGTGGCCAAATTCATTGTTGCTCTACAAAGCGAAATCCAGTGATTTCAGTGAGAATTGGCTCGAGAGAATTTCGCTTGATGGACTACACTGAAAAATCAATTTTCACTCAAAAACTGCTAAAATATTTCACAGAAAAATGACAAAGAAACGGCAAGTGACACTTTGATTTAAAAATGAAATTTTGAAGTAGAGAAGAATGGCTTTCGATTAGGACTGCCCGATTAATCGAATGCGATTGTCATGCGCATTTTGATAGTAATGCCGGTTGCAGCTATAGGCATTTTCTGGGTTTCTTCTGCGAGGTGTATTTGGAGTTTCAGCGTGAGAGCGCCCTCTGGCCTTTGGATGGAGATTTACTGCTGATCACAGAACCGTGCTTCACTGAAAGATACGCATGACAATCGCAGCTTCTGTCGAATCGCGATCTCGATTCCATTTCGATTTATCGTGCAGCCCTACTTTCGATGTTTATTTTGTTGTCATTTCCCATATTGCTCATTATATTTTTTCATGTCAGGTCTTGTATAATTTAGAGATTTCTGTGAAAACCTTTTATACCGTGATTGTGGGCGGGGCTGGGAAGAATATGACGAGAAATGATGTTCATATTGAGTAACGAGTTCGTATGAAAATCTCTGAAATTAGATTGCAGACATTGGTATCTTGACAAATCTAAGCACAATTTGAGACCTTGAGATCTCTTGTAAAACTCTGGGAGACATTTGGGGATCCCAATTGTGTGTGGATTTATTTATTTATTTATTTTTAACGAATGAATGAATAAATACAAATTTAAAAAATGTGATTTCCAAATATGGACAAATCGTGGATTTTTTTATAGTATTTTTTTCTTCTTTTTTCCCCTAAAAAAAAAAAAAGGCTTCTGGCCTTAAAAAAGAAAAAAAGTTTATAGTTTTAAGAAAAACACTCAGGAAGAAAAAAAAATTAAAAGCTTTTTTTCCTACCTAAATATTATATTATTTTGAAAAATGCAAAGTAACGGTACCTTCCATTTAATATCATTGCTGTTGCGGAGAAATAGTTCCTATGGGCATTTCAATAGATTTTTCCCAGGATATCAACAGGGTTCTGGTTTGATTGCTGTTGGACCAGCGGATCGTTTTAGCAGGTGATAAATGGAGCTAATAGGATGAGATGGCATCAGGGAGATTATAGCCACTTGCTCGGCTCATCTCCCCTATGGCTAATCCCTATCTTCTGCATCCAGTAGCAAACAGATTGGAACGGATCCGGCGAGTGTGACCTTTAATCAGGAAAGATTCTGCTCAGGGTTTGTCTGTAGGTTACACCGGATTGTTTTGAGTATTTCTATTAAAGAGGTCTCTGAATGAGTCGCAAGGATTCGGTTATTTAACAGACCTGAGCGGTTTATCACACATTGTGAGAATCCCTGCTCTTTTCTAATGTGTTGTGATCTGCTGGACGCTTCGTCAGTAATTCTAGTGCAGGTGTATGAAATGCAAACAGAAGAACTCTCTCGTCTAAATAAAGAATAACTAATGTGCACCTCAGATGACTCTTTATTCAAGAACTAGATCTGATAGTCTTGTGCAACGTGTAAAGGTTAGTGTTCAGTTTAATATAAAACCTGAACGTCTTTTCATTTAGAAAAACTGTTTTATGTATGTCTTGTGCATGGTTGTCCATTATCTCATATGTTTGGCAAGAATCTTTTTAATGCAGGCTTTCACAATAGCCATATTGAGCAGACTGTGCAAAATCCCGAATCCCACAATGCAATGCACTCCACATGACCTTCCTTTTGCAGTGTGACAAATGAACCAGCGATATATCAGCTGTGATTTCTTCCTTCTGAGAACATCTCCTTTTTTTTACTCTGGCAGGAAAAATAGATAAAAATACATAATAAACATTTTTATTTCCCATATAATAACCACAACTCGCTGGATTAAGTATGCAGTGTGATAAGGTTACGTGACAACAGTATACTTACTCTACAGTATGTCATTAGTTTCATAATGCTTGTATTTTTTGCATTTAATGTTTTAATTTTAACAGTAAGCCTCTGTAGTGTAGCATTTAAAAGGAATTGTTGCATTTACATTTTAAATGATTAATTAGTGTATTATGCCTTCGTTTGATTACCACCATTTTTGATAATAAATTTGTAATAAGTTATAAATCCAGAAAAAAATCATTGGGCCCTTAATTTTATTTTTGATAAATTATTATTTAATATTTCAATTAATTAGACATGCTTGTTCATTACTAAAATTTATTTGAACCATTAAAAGAAAAATGTAAAAAAATCTCAAAAATTCAAAGAATGAAGCTGATTTGATAGGCTACTGCACAATATTTAATTCTGAACAGAGCCTAAACATAAGAGCTTTTTCCTGTTCAAGGTGCTTCTGAATCAAGCCACTCTAAAGCAGATCCTGAGATGATCGCTGTATTCAGAGCATTATAAGGTGTGGATGTCTTTGTGTCTCATGCATTTGCGGTCTCAACCAAACCTCAGAGCCGTTGAATTCAGCCAGACCACTGCCAGCACACTGATGCATTCCTGTACAGACAACACAAGAAATCATTTTCAGATCTCTTGCTGCTATTCATACTGCTGCTCTACGCATGATACACTCATTCATCTGAGTCATAATGCAGAAAGTGTTCTCTCTGCAGCGTTTTATACGCTTATTTTTAGAGTTGAATAATCACCAGTTGTGTGGTGACACTTTACTGTAAGGTTCTGTTTGTTAACGAGTTAGCTGTTGTTAATTTCAAAATGTACTAATACTTTATTCAAATTAAAAGTTATATATCTGTTAATATGATTTAATGGACATGAGCTAACAGAAAAATTACAATTAACAGTTGTTTTTATGTTAAACAGTTGTTAAACATTACTAAAAACTGTAACGTGTTACTTATGGTTAATGTTAGTCAATACATAAACCAATGTTAACTAATGGTATTGTAAAGTGTTACGAAAATACTTATCACAGTGTTTCTAGTTATGCATACGGTCTCAAATATTGTGTTTACTAACAAAAAAGTACCATAACCCTACTGTGGTTTATTGACTTGTACTGTGGTATACCATGGTTTTTTGGGCCATGTAATACAGTCATACCACGGTATTCTTTGAAATACTTGGGAGTACCAGGTAATGCTTTATCATCTGATACCATAGTGCCACAGTACCTTTCTATTGTTATTATTCACTCACCTCAAAGTTTTACTTGGAAACAAAGTCAAGTCATTTATAAGCATTGTGAATCGGTTCGATTTAATCTTTCAAAATAATTATTTGTGGACTGAGAACAAAAAGAAATCTTCTCCATCTTTTTGTATCGCTTTAGTCAGGCTGTTGAGCTCAATAGAATCAGATCGTATGACAAAGATTTAACAATGGAAAATAAAGCACTCAAAGTCAGACTCATTCTCCTCATGCCAAACTGCACAATTAAAGATTTATTGTGTCTCCCACGTAACCCGTCTTTTCCTCCTCAAAAATGTGTGCTGCTACAGAGAAAATATTCAGACTGATCTTCTAGATACATTTCACTGGTGTGTGTGTGAGAGAGAGAGTCAGAGATACGTGTAAGTGCTATGGAATGTTTCCATTAAAATCAGGCGAGTGCAGGAGCTGGAATCTCTTCTCTGAGTGTTTCTGCACATTCGCTCCTGTTCAGAGCCCCTCTCAGCACCAACACTTCTGCTGCGCCATAGACTTTGTTCCCACACTAAGCGTCATGTGATTTCTCTGTGAATTGCCCATCAGCTTTGCTTCGTAAATGACTCATACCTCTCGTATACAATGATTTCCCGTCAGGCTGTTGGGTACACATTTCATTTAGAACAAGAAATAGTTTTTCACCAAGAGCTTTTAGTGATTGTTAATAGAGGTCGACCGATGTATCGGTTTTGCCGATTAATCGGGACCGATAGTTTTTTTAGTTTTTGTTCAATATCAATTTTAAAACAATCGGTTAATTAATCGGTATCGGCCAGTGTGG